ATGATTTGTTCTTGACAAATCCATGCTGTTACTTATCACCTTATTATTTTCTAGATGTTTGCAAATTGATTGCTTGATTATTTGCTCCATTATCCATTAAGTCAGAACTTAAGCTGACTGCATGTGTGTTCTCCCTTTGTGCTGTCCCAGCTCTGCGCAGATAGCTGGCACAGCAGATCTCAAGGAAACTGCCCAATGATCACAAAATCCGTTAAGGTGCAAAGGGGCTTAGTCAGGTTTATTGTCAGCAAAGCACAGTCCTAGCTCCCTGGATCAATGTCTACAGTTACACTAACACATGTATGCCTCGGCTGGACAAAGACACTCCCTCTGAGATACATCTTTATACACCAATACAAACAAGTTATGTATCACCCTCTGACATATTAGGGTGCCACCCATTGCCTGGTTCCTGTAGGTTCAATCAAAACACCCCTATATCACTGGTGAGCAATCAGTTCCCGCAGCTCCCATTGATCGGGAATGGCAAACCACAACCACTGGGAGCTGTGGGCAGCCGTGCAAATGTAAACAAACTGTCTGGTGGCCCGCCAGTGGATTAACCGCACGCACCACATGCAGCCTGCGGGCCGCAGTTTGCCCACCACTGATCTATATTCATTATGCTGTCATGCTGACTTTATCCTTAAGATGGGTCAGCATGTTCCTGTTATCTTTGGGGAATGTGTTTGCCGGGGTGTTCTGATACCACCCTTCTGAAATGTGCTTTCCTGAGTGTTTTGTGCCGAGCACCTCTTAGGAATATATGTTTTTACAATATCAACCCTATGCATGTCAAATTCTATAAGTAGGGCCTGCTTCTTGTTCACAACTTAACTTTGCTTTATGTCAGCCAGGTTTTGACTACTTTAGCCCAGGCTTCATACCAGGCCTCTGATACATGGGCTTATGTTTCAGGCCCTCTTCCTACTATGATCACTAAGGGGTCAGATATCTTGTCAGCCAGCTCCATGAGTAGTCTAGGATGTATTTTATCTGGCAGTTCCGACTTGAAGACATCTAACTTGTCTATGACAGGTTTCAGAGTAACAGCCATGTTAGTCTGTATTCGCAAAAAGAAAAGGAGTACTCGTGGCACCCTAGAGACTAACCAATTTGAGCATAAGCTTTCATGAGCTACAGCTCACTTCATCGGATGCATACTGTGGAAAGTGTAGAAGATCTTTTTATACACACAAAGCATGAAAAAATACCTCCCCCCACTACTGTGGAAAGTGTAGAAGATCTTTTTATACACACAAAGCATGAAAAAATACCTCCCCCCACTACTGTGGAAAGTGTAGAAGATCTCCCTACGGGGAGAGATGAAGTGAGCTGTAGCTCACGAAAGCTTATGCTCAAATAAATTGGTTAGTCTCTAAGGTGCCACAAGTACTCCTTAACTTGTCTATGTAATTTTTAACTTGTTCTTTCCCTATTTTAGCCTCAGATGCTATCTCATTTTTACTGGTGTTCATTATGTTAGCTGTCCAACTGCTACTAAACGTTTTGGTGAAAACTGAAACAACAAAAAATCATTTAACATTTGCCATTTCCACATTTTTTGTTATTGTCTTTTATCCCTCAATAAGTAATGGGCATACCCTGCCATTGGTCTTCCTCTTGCTTTTAATGTATTTGTAGAATGTTTTCTTGTTACACTTTATATCTCTAGCTGGTTTAATCTCATTTTGTGCCTGGGCCTTTCTAATTTTGTCCCTACATGCTTGTGTTGGTTGTTTACATTCATCCTTTGTAATTTTGTAATTTGACTTAGTTTCCACTTTGCGTAGGACTCTTTTTTGAGTTTCAGATCATTGGTGATCTCCTGGTTAAGCCAACGTGGTCTCTTTCCATACTTCCATACACAGAACGAGATAACTGGTTCTGTGGATGAAGGGAAAGCAGTGGACGTGTTGTTCCTTGACTTTAGCAAAGCTTTTGACACTGTCTCCCACAGTATTCTTGCCAGCAAGTTAAAGACGTATGGGCTGGATGAACGGACTATAAGGTGGATAGAAAGCTGGATAGATTGTCGGGCTCAACGGGAGGTGATCAATGGCTCCATGTCTAGTTGGCAGCCGGTATCAAGTGGAGTGCCCCAAGGGTCGGTCCTCGGGACGGTTTTGTTCAATATCTTCATAAATGATCTGGAGGATGGTGTGGATTGCACCCTTAGCAAGTTTGCAGATGACAATAAACTGGGAGGAGAGGTAGATACGCTGGAGGGTAGGGATAGGATACAGAGGGACCTAGACAAATTGGAGGACTGGGCCAAAAGAAATCTGATGAGGTTCAACAAGGACAAGTGCAGAGTCCTGCACTTAGGCAGGAAGAATCCAATGCACTGCTACAGACTAGGGACCGAATGGCTCGGCAGCAGTTCTGCAGAAAAGGACCTAGGGGTTACAGTGGATGAGAAGGTGGATATGAGTCAACTGTGTGCCCTTGTTGCCAAGAAGGCTAATGGCATTTTGGGATGTATAAATAGGGGCATTGCCAGCAGATCGAGAGACGTGATCGTTCCCCTCTATTCGACACTGGTGAGGCCTCGTCTGGAGTACTGTGTCCAGTTTTGGGCCCCACACTACAAGAAGGATGTGGAAAAATTGGAAAGAGTCCAGCGGAGGGCAACAAAAATGATTAGGGGGCTGAAGCACATGACTTATGAGGAGAGGCTGAGGGACCTGGGGATGTTTAGTCTACGGAAGAGAAGAATGAGGGGGGATTTGATAGCTGCTTTCAACTACCTGAAAGGGGGTTCCAAAAAGGATGGCTCTAGACTGTTCTCAGTGGTAGCAGATGACAGAACGAGGAGTAATGGTCTCAAGTTGCAGTGGGGGAGGTTTAGGTTGGATATTAGGAAAAACTTTTTCACTAGAAGGGTGGTGAAACACTAAAATGCGTTACCTAGGGAGGTGGTGGAATCTCCTTCCTTAGAAGTTTTTAAGGTCAGGCTTGACAAAGCTCTGGCTGGGATAATTTAATTGGGGATCGGTCTTGCTTTGAGCAGGGGGTTGGACTAGATGACCTCCTGAGGTCCCTTTCAACCCTGATATTCTATGATTCCTATCTGTCCTATGCAGTAAGATTGTTTGCTCTTGTGCTCTAAATTAAAATATAACCTGTGTCACATAAGGTATAATTTATGAACCAAAATGAAGAGCAAAAGGCTCAAAACTGAATCATAGTTAAAAACTGAGGTCCAAATCCTGCCTTTAGATGATCTCAAATGATTTTTTTGTATTATAAGCTTCGGTTGTGGAGCAGAACCAATGTACAGAGCCTAGCACAAACAGAGAACAAAAAGACGGTCCCTGCCTCAGTGAGCTTACAATCTCCTTAACTTGTATTTTCTAACTGCTATGCTGAGCCAAATAGGTTTCAGGGGTTTTTGAGGTAAATGCTTAGATAATATGTATTAGTAGTTACTATACAAAAACAAGAACAATATCCAGAGCATTCCTTACCTGATTTCTCTATGCTACCACTATATTCTTCTGTCTGACCTAAAGATGCTGCAAATGTTTTGCATACTGTATACTTACAGCCTTTCAAGTTATAAGACATTTAAATGTCTTTAAAATATTTATCTCTGTCTCTCTAACCATATGCAAAAATAAATGAATGGAAGAGTTCTAGTGTGCATGCATGGAATTATCAATTTTAAATATTCACAGTTTTAAAATTGCTTACATGATTTTCTCCAGAACTGAACTGATTTGAGTTTCACTGAGGAATACTAAAACAAGCTAAACTTGAAGTTTCTCATTTTATCCATTTTTGAGTTATGCAAATACAAACATTTTGATTTGAATATATCAGAATTGTGTATTTTTTGTTCTTTTATAACTCTAAAACAGCTGAACTGATTTTGTGAAATGTCTGTCCCAAAAAGATCATATCTGAACTAATGGATCAAACATGGAACATGAACCCAAAAGGCAACTTATAACCAACTGAAGAACAGAGGCTTGAATGGAAGTTATAACTTACCCTTACAGTGCTTACTATCACAACTACTAAAATACGGTTGCCCCTTTTGGGCCTAAAGAGTTAGCTAACAGTTGAAGCCTTGCCAAGATTTTTCAGTGAGGAGGAGAAATAGATTATATGATTCAAATACTTCTTTGATGTGAGCTTGTTTATTTACAACAAGGAATATACACAACCTGAACAGAGTAGAAACAGGAGGCATTTTCCTGACTCACAAAAAATCTCTCTCTCCAGTGAGTCCTGTGCCCTTTAGAGAGCTGTCTTTGCTCCCTCTTAGGGCCATGCTCACCACTTCTCTCACTGTCTGCTCACTTTCTGCCTATCACACCCATGGACACACACAGCTCCATCCAGGCAATACCACATTTGCAATCAGTCCCCAGGAAAACCCCTCAGCTCACATGGCTTAGCTCTGATTGGCTTTATCATACAATATTTTGCCTTGGGAGGCAAATTCTTATATTTTAGCTATCAATACACAAAGGGACATTTAAATGCTCCTTCCATTTAGCCTGAATGAAAAGTCACCCGTTGACTTTAACCAGGTCTGAAATTGATGTCAAGATCAAAGAAACAATTGACGAGAGCTATTAACATCTTTCATTGTAACAACAAAAATACTAAACCACATAAAGACATAATTCAAATAAATATCCATTTTCATGTTTCAAATTGTTCAATGTTTCAATATTCAAAATGTTTCAAGGACCAACAGTTACTGGGGGAAGAACAATGTTTACCTAGCTAGTTACTTGATAAATAATGTGGATGTGTACCTCTTATAAGAAAGTCTTTCTGACCTTGCTGATGGCTGCATTACTCAGAGGGGCCAGTTAATTGTAACTACTTATTTGGAAGGGAAAATAGTCTGGAGAACCACCTTTCCAGTTGAACTAGAGGCCAAAAGTTAACATACTAACAAGTGTAATTTGCCAATAATTGTATTTTGAATATGTGTGTGCGCTCATGCATGCATATATATATATCTATATAAATATTCTTACCCAGTAGGTTTGTGAGCCACAGCGCTAGATCCTCTTTCATCGGTAATAAGTTGGCCTCATGTCTGCTGGCCAGCCACTGGCTGTATTGATGCATATCAGAAAGGCCAGGTCCTCGTGCCTTTGGGCTCAGAGCACTGCACATTGTTTATCCACTTGTAATACCTGTTTTTTCAAAAAAGTACCTCATTATATTATATAAGGCCTGAAGCTTTCTTTTTTTTTTTTAAGTTTATTGACAGTGCTTGAAACGAACTATGATCCTGGGATGCAAGATGTCAGACAAACCCATGCAGGTCTAACACATGGAGACAACATACACAATGAAAGTCTTGTTTTGCTAATAGAGCATTTTGCTGGTGATTTAATTATATAGATAGTGTCTGTTTTATTTGTACTCACCCAGGTACACATGTTCCCAACAATCCACTACTCTGCAAGGAATAATTAAAACCAAATCAAAATAAACATTTTGAGATACAGACCTAACAATTCATTAGGACCTGATCCAATGTCCATTGAAACCCATGGAAAGCTTCACTGGGCTTTGGATCAGGCCCCAGAACAGCATATGAGTAAGGGAGTTCTGCAACTGCAATAAACCGTTAACAGTACTAAACAGATACCCATTCCACCAAATGAAATCAGTCGATTCTACAGCTTTAGTGTCATAAAAAAATACAAAGAATCCTTTAAAATATTATTTTTAATTTACTGTATTATTCTACAAACATACACAAAGCATAGCAGTCCTGGAGGATGGAGTTTATCCACAAAACAGATACAGTAGCAGTGCAAGCTTCCGACTTCACCGTCCCTACACAAATGCTAATGGGCCTCAGTTCTGAACTATGGAAACCACCTCTAGAGGTGAGAGAGTACTTCATTTTCCCATTCAATATTTTATTCTCAATTTAATTTTTAAAATCATTTCAATAGCCAGAGGTGTGAAGTGCCCACTGGAATTGTAGTTCTATTACTGAAGGTCAAATTCTGCCATCTGCTGCATGGGTGTGCTTGGGAAAGAAAAGGGTGTCAGACTCTTCCTGTCCCTGTGAAGCATAGCAGGGTTTCAGCCTAATGCTAAAGAGAGTGCCAAGTTAGGGGACTGGCTACTGTCCCAGCTGGCACACCATGGCTCCTAGCGAGCACAGTCAGGACCTGGTCAGCCAGCTGATACGCTGTATTGTGCAGATGGCATTAGGCAGGGTTCTCACTGTTCTTTTCTAAAGGATCAGGAAGATGCTTATTTACCCTGGCTGTTCTGTGCCATTGTGACCTGCACTTGTAAGATGATTGCAGGGCAGGATGCACTGCTGATGGCTGTTTCCTTCTGCCCCTTGCATAGTGTCTAGAAGTCATGAGTCAGCCGATAGGTAACAGTGACTTTAAAAATAGGGAAGAACAACTTGCTATCCTATGACAGTGGTCAGACAATGGCACCCTGATTTTATGAACGTTGATCTTATGAACGACCTGTTATATGAACATTTTTCTGCCACTGATGGCACGTCTTTCTGACGCCAAATGTGACTTCAATCCATCAGCCAATGTTTGAGCAGCGGCAGAGGTTTGAAAAGACAGATTTGGTGGAAAAGAGGGGACATGGTTCTCTCAAAGAAAAATCAGGCATATATTTGTTACCATTCATTATGTACACAATCATTTAACACTGAATAAATTAACATATGCATTGTATCTACTGGAATTTTGAGATATTCAATTTTATTAACTTTTGGATTTTATTAACTCAATATCAAATTAGTTCATAAAACAGACATTATATTAAATCTATATATAGCTAGCTAGCTAGCTAGATATAGTAAGAGAGAAGAAAAATGGTTGCAGGATATACAAAGGCTTTTGTAAAAAAAAATGACTGCAGCATTTCATATACACTAGAATTTGGGATAATATAATATATGGATTAAAATTATTCCTCCCTCATTTAACCATGCCCTGGGTAACAAACTTCTTGTTAGATAAAACATCTGGTTAATCTCTTGTTTAGCCCCTGTCAATGTGTTTAGTGTATCACTTCCCTCCTCATCCAAAATTCTGCTTCTACTAAAGTTTTGGATGTCCCTGTGGCATTTTGAATAAATAGGCTCATACTAGTTATCGTTATTTAGAATATGTTTTCCACAGAAATCATTCTGCTTTTTTGGTTAGTGAAAAACACACAAACAAACTAGATTCTCTCCCCCCAAGGTAAAAGTAAGTTTTTGAATTATCATTAGAACTTAGATGTATGTTGGTAAGAGACAAAAATTACAAATAATGGGCCTGATCCTGCATTGCTTGTGCAACCTAAACTCCTTTGCAAGTCAAGGGACTTTGGAGTGAGAAAGGTATGCAATTAAAGTGTAGCTCTGCTTTGAAAATTGACTGTAAAAATGACATCGTGGTTTTAGAGTTTCTTGGTTAATGACATCCAGGTCAAATCTGCTCATTTTTGGGGGGCAAACAACAAAAGATTTTTCAAGCTGTCAGCTCTGCAAACTCAGCCTGGAATCTGACTCTCCAAGTGGGTTCTTTCTGGCCCGTGCATCAAATACAATAAATATTCCACCATCATAACTTATTTTAAAGCTTTTCTATGTCATTCTTCACCAGAGTAGCTGAGTTCCTCAAAATATTACAGTGAGATAGGGAGGTATTATCATCACCATTTCACAGCTAGGGGAACTGAGACTCAAAGAGGTTAAGCGACTTGTCCAAATTGTCACAGGGATTCTATGACAGTCAGTATTAAAATCTTCTCTATTTCATCCTTTCTCTCCAGAAGTTATAAAAGAGTCAAAAAGTTATTCTCCTGCAGGTAATAATTAGGTTGATGTGTGAGCCAGAATGTAATCCAGGTCACTCTCCCATAGTTGTTTTTATGGGGGAATAGTAGTAAAAACTTATCTTACTCATTTAAATAAATACATATGACTCAGGATGTCCAAGGGAAGCAAAGTAAAAGGTACCATTTTTGCACAGTCACTTTCTAGGTTTACAGATAAGACTTTAAGATAATCATCTTTTTATTTCATTTCATTTATTCTCGGATATATTCATTGGAAAATCTAGAAACCACATTGTTGCTCTGGAAGAAATAAAAAGACACTGTGGCTTAGGATTCTCCTTGGGAGAAAACTGCCTTTCTGCATCCAAGGATACATGTATGGTGAAATGTTCCCCACCAAGGAGCCCCACCAATAAATGTTGAAACTGTAGTGTGCCTGTGATACTGCAGGGTGCAATGCCACCTGCTGCCAGTGTCGGTATTTCTACACTGTATTAAAAGCCTACTGCTGGCCCAGGCCAGCTGACTTGGGCTCACAGGGTTCAGGTTAAGGGACTGTTTAATTGCGGTATAGACATTAGGGCTTGGGTTGGTACCCAGGCTCTAAGACCCTGAGAGGTGGGAGGGTCCACATCGTAATTAAACAGCCCCTTAACCTGAGCCCCGTGAGCCTGAGCCAGCATGGGCAAGCTGTGGGTGTCTGTAGTGTAGACATACCACGTTTGACTTTTGGTGGGGCCGAGGCTGCTCCAACCTGGCTCTGTAGGCTGCGTTATACATGACTGCCACTAGGGGGTTTCTGGAGGCTCACACAGCAGGGACTATGGAATTAGTGCAAAAAAACAGACAAAGAACAGCACTGTCTACACATGTTCCCTGCAGCCCATTGAGCATATGGGCTTCTGCCAGCAGAAGGAGGCACAAAGCATGGAATTCAAGCATACATGTTGCTATTTCAGTTCAGACTCACAGTACAGGGCTGTTTGCACACACTCCCTGCTGACCTGGTTCTTGCCTTTCCCAGACCCAGCAACAAATAAAAGATGGGGAGGGTTCTGAGCAGAAGGAACTTTTGAGCCTGGTGGTGATGGGAGTTAAGGTTTGACTGAAGCTATTCCGGGAGTTGTTTTTCCCCAACATGAGGTAATATCATTTTCTTAAAGTATCCTATTAAAATCTCCCGGATTGCTTTCAACAGTCACTGGGAGATTGATGCTGATTCCGGGAGACTCCCAGCCAATCCTGGAGGGTTGACAACCCTAATGGGAGTTAGGAGGTAGAAGGGGGAATAGTTCTGATCATGGAGGTATGAGTGTGAGGGCGGTAACCAGTGGGAGAAGATTCACACTGAAGGGAATGTTTCTGAATGGTAGTGAGTTTAGGTAGAAAGAAGAGGGGTTCTCAGTATGTAGATGTGATGTGAGTGGCTCTTCTGAGCTGGTAGGGGTTGAAAGGAGCTGAGAGAGCTGGGCAGGGGAGGGTTTCTAAACCAGGAGGGGGACACATTGAGATGTTATGGTCAAGTGCAGGCGGAATCAAGTCAACTGGTGAATGGGGGGGGGGGGTTGCATATGATAGGGAGGAGTGTAGGGTAACAGCTAGATTGGCAGGGGTGTGGTAGGATGAGGAAAGAACAGTGACACAATCACAGATGGATAAATACTGTATCCACTACCTTTTGTAAAGTTTCACTATTTCTCTTCCTAAAGGGTAAGGAGGGTTCCCCTTTTTTCCCCCATTTCTCCACCAACCTGTCTTATCTCCCACCGCTAACCACTTACCTTTGACACCCATGACCACTTTGAGAATAACATCAGCCTAAAAGAAAAGGCTGAAGATTGGTAGGTTTGGCCATGTGCTTCAAGTTGTCAGTACCAGTGGCAAAGTTGTGGAATTCTTTATTGTTTTTTGGGTTGTTTTTTGTGTGCTAACACTGACCTTCCTCATATTAAATCTGGGAAGTTCATCCAAACTTAATTTAACCTTCCACAGTGACTGTGCGATAAAATTTCTGGCTTACACTTAAACACTTGTCTCAGTTAATTTGATTAGCATTACCAGCCCAAATGTTGCCTAGTATCATTTCTCTACACATTGGTTAGGATTTTCAAAGAAGTCTAAGGGAGACAGACACTCAAATCCTACTGAAAGTCAGTGGGAGTTGAGCACCTAGCTCCTATTGAAAATTCCAGCCATAACCAAGGCTGGATCTTGCAGTCCTTGCTCAGGGGAAATGAACTTTCTATATTTTGATCCCCATTACCATAGTATCTGAAAAACTCACAATCTTTAATGTATTTATGTAGTGACATACGGAAGTATTGTTATCCCAAGTTTACAGAGAAGAAACTCAAACACAGAGAAATGTAGGGTACCTCTGCACTGTGATAAAAGATCCATGGCATGGCCACAGCTGACCCGGGTCAGCTGACTCGGGCTCATGGCACTATAAAATTGCAGTGTAGACATTCAGGCTCGGGCTTGAGACCAGGTTTCGGTATCCTTCCCCCATGACAGCTCTCAGAGCCCAGACTCCAGTCCCAGCCCAAACAGTTACACTGCAATTTTTAGCCCCACACGCCCGAGCACTGTGAGTCCAAGTTAGCTGACCCAGGCTCAGACTCGGTGCTGCAGGTTTTTTAT